AGCGCATGGTCCTAATATCTAGGAAAAAACCACCAGACCAGTCCTGGCTGGGAGCGTCGATGTCTGATGCCTTAACTACTAGCTACACATCTGTGTAAAGAGTGAGCTAGTAGCGGCTATGATAACGGGGACTCCGTGGAGGCACGAGGATGTCCGGCGCCTTAGCTTAGCATAATACCGCACCGCGGGGGCACCCGCGGGAAATATATGCTAGCTAAACCACGATCAACCTTCTTCCGAGGAAGGAGACCGGGGTGAAAAAAAAAACGGGTTGTGCTGGGGACAGACCGATCCCCGAGCAGCCCGGACGGACGGCTAAACGGATCATAGCTCGATGGCGCCGGACACGAATTCCATGTCGATATAATAGAATCATAGCACTTACATGTATGGGCGTCTTCTATGGTACATGCAGAATGCCGAAGCTGAAGAAAAAAGGGGAGCCGAGCACAGGTCCGTCCTCCCCTTTTATACGGACCGAGGTGAGGCCCACGTCACGTGGGCGTGGACTATTGGTCTTCAGAATGGGCGTACGCGCACGGGGGTACCCATCTGCGATAGCCTTAGAGGGCGGAGCTTACACGAAATAGAACTCCCTGAAGAGCTTTTGTATCCTTTCATGGCCTGAGGGCTCTTTGGGATTCCCCTAGAGGAGGTGGGAAAAGGGATATGWGTTTCCTGTTTGAACCTGTTGCCTCATCAAAATGGACAACCCTTTCTGACAAATCCCTACTGTTGTTGCATTTTTCATTGCACGGGTTTTTGGATTTTATTCCAATTTATTTCCATCACATTCTCTTATTCAAACACATTCCAGTCAGTTATTTATTATAAACGTAGCACAAAAAAGTAGATAAATTAGTGTTTGGTATATTGTTTCTTTGTTGCAGCAATGCTTCTTGACAATAAATCTTTTTACTGTATTGTTGGAAAGTCTGTTAGTGTCGCTTTTAAATGGTACAACATTTGTAAGGAACAGGCATTTGTGAAATGAGCAGTAGAGCTTCTGTATACGACTTATTGTCTATATTTTTTTGTCCTGCTCTCGGAGGAGTAAAATGCTTCTTCCTTCTCCCCTGCCCTTCCTTATTTTTCCCTGCTTTGCTGCTGGAGCCTTTTCTACATTTTTCATCTGAAATAAGAAATCATGGATATTTTTATTTTTTATGGATTTGGTTGGCTGATCTCTCAATAAAAATCTTGGAACAAAGTTTTTTCTTCTTCCATGGGAGGACATGTCAGAGGTGGGACCTCTGTTCTTCTCTGTTCTGGATTTATGTCTGGACTTTGATCACTGGATTCTACAGACTGGCTTGGTGGTCTCCTGGCGTTCTGCAAATCAGCATCGGTGGCTTTTCGTCTCCTGGCTGCCTGACCAATTCAATGGGTGGCCGTATTCTATCAGAACTCGGGCATTTTGCCTTGAGTGAGCTGGACCCGGTCTGCAAGCAGTTCTATTGAGGGTCGAGGGGCCGGCTGTGGTCCCTGGACTTTGCTGACCAGATAGAATTCATCTTGGAGGAATCTGATAGATTCAGCTTGGCGAAATTTTGTCCACACCATTTTGCCTGATTGGATTCACCACCTTYAGAGTACCAGCAAAAACTCTAAAGCAGATGGAAAATTGTTGTCTGCTCGACTCTTTCTGTTCCTTAACAACTGATTACAGAATCTGGATCTCCCTGACAATGGCCTTGGATCTGTTGACTGAATTCTTCCTGGCTGGATGTGTTGACAGAGGCTCTGCCCCATCCCTTACTCCTCCTTTCACCGGTCTAATCTGTGTTTCCAGGGTAGGCAGTAAGCTGCACAGAAATGAACAATTTTCCATCAATATTTCTGGACCATGGCTATGCTGGTCTYGGGACTGGATTCTTCAGGCCGCCCCTAAACTCACATACTCCTCTGGCTAATAATCTTGCTCTATGCAGAGGTTTTTTCATAAACACCATAGCATGTCACAGTGGTGATATAATATGATGTTTTTTGCTTTTTTCCTCATCTTCACTTCCCTTGTGTGTTTTTCAGTTTTTCTTTGTTTCTAAGTTGGCACCACAGCAGGCAACCTGTTACTGCAACTCCACTGTTTTGAGCTGCTGTAATGTTCAAATTTCCCCACTGTGGGATCAATAAAGTTATATCTTATCTCATCTCATCTTATCTCATCTTATCTTATCTTATCTTATCTTATCTTATCTTATTTTATCTTATCTTATCTTATCTTATCTTATCTTATCTTATCTTATCTTATCTTATCTTATCTTGTCTTTTCTTATCTTATCTTATCTTATCTTATCTGAAATGTCAATGTCATATTTCTTTATATCAAAAAGAACAAAAACTGACCAAAGTGATTTACTGATCAGTCACGGACCTGTATCATTAAAACAAAAGTCAAAATTAAATGCAGAAACACAATAAAACAAACAAAAAAACAGGTTTAACAGAACTTCAAATTGCCTCAATCAAATATGCCAATCACAAATTTCCTTTTTTATTGTGCTAAGTAGAAGCAAGGCAAAATATTTGTCTTTGTATTACTTCAAGCTTCTCTGCACGTTTAACTGAAATCTGCAACATAGTCCTGCTTACTGAACCTTCCCTCCCAATGCCTTCATTTCCAATCTCATAATACAAGCTAAATTAGCCATGGCATATAGCATTGAAGCATGCAATGGCCATCGGTCTTCCCTCATACATCTCAGTCACGTAATTGAATATCAAGTCTGCTGGGGCCCTTCATAAATGAGTGACCATCTGCACGTATACATAACAGGACACACGGTTGAATCTGTGTAAGAAGTCAGATGAAATGGCAGTTTAAGCCAGATGTCTGAAGATCTTCTGCTGTGAAGGGCATGTTGAAAGAATGAATCCAATCATCCACAGGAAAATACACAACTCAGTCTTATTTTCCTTTAACCCTGCCAAGCCTTATTGATGCTGTACACTGCCCCCTATTTTTAGCTCCCAGTAATGCGGCCTGCACAACCAGCTGCGGTGTAATTAATTTCTCATTAGTGCAGTCAATAATGACAATTCTGTAATCTTGCTTGCAAAATCTCACACTCCTTCTTTTGCAGCACATGCATTTCGCCTCCCCACCACTCCAACTCCACCAATGCCCTGCTGGAGGGAAGGATTCACATCTACAAAAAAAAAGGCTGAGCAAACAAACAACAATTAGCTTCCTGTTGACATAGAGAATGGTACACTCATCTCCTGCAAATTACCCCATACTGAGTCATGAACAAGTGAGACTTTCACTTTAGGTGCTTTTAATGAAGCATTTTATGCTGAAGGTAATCATGAAACTGCAGACACACAACACAACACACTGGAATGGAGTACATCCACAAACATTCAGATGAAATAGTTGCTGTGATTACAAGAGCAAATATTTAACATTTGAAGAGTAAAACTGATTGGATATCCAAGGCAAAACTGTTTATGTGCAACTTTATCAGATAAAACGACCCAGTAATCCATGTGTTTTATCGAGTAAATTGGTTGTTCCTGCAAATCTCAACCAGAAATGTGTAGAATCTTGAGTCACACTGTTCTTACCCTGCTGGTGTTTGTTTTAAATGAGACATATCATACTTTTAAATGTTTTTTTTAAGCATTTAAAAGCATGATATGTCARGCTTTAAAAGCATACTTTTAAATGCTCCTATTTCTCGTCCTATTTTTCTCAGGCTTTAAGTTTCTTCAGGCGTCGTCAGGCTTCTTCTTCTTCAGCATTTGGAGTGGGCCACAACAAAACATATGTCCAACATACAACAAGACCAGACAAAAAGCTATGCTTCATGCAAGATGTGAGAATCTATTCAGAAGGTCGGTTACATCTTTCATGGTGCTCCCAAACACCATGGGTCCTGTAGAGAGAGAAGCAAGTCTGTTAAAAGCATGTTATGATGTGCAAAAAAACAAAACAAACATCAGGTTAATCAGGCTGAGAATAAGAATAGAAGAAAATATGTTTTTGATGGAAAGAAAGGATGTCCAATAATGGACATCTTAAAAGTAAAAACCAGACAAAAGAACACAGCAATACCAGTCAGCATCTTGATCTTCAGGCAGTGCTGGCTCTAGCCATTTTGGTGTCCTAGGCGAGTTGAAGCGCACCCCGCCCCCAGCTATGTCCCACTCACCCCAATTTGAACCCCTTAAAACAAGGTACAATGGTAAACTTAGATTTATTTGCTTTCCCAGAAAGCAAATAAATAACAACATACATGTCAACTTGTATGGATTGTCCATAAGTTATAAGGATTTTACGTCATTTTGCAGGTATACAGACGTATCTCACAGATTTTTTCAAGTCTTACAGATTTTTTCAAAACCTCATTTTAAAATTTATCTAACATGTAGCTTGTAGCATTATTTGAAAAAAACAAACAATAAATAGCATTAACTAACCATCTTCCAACATGTTCTGCCAGTAGAAATAAGTTTTGAACTTTTCCTGCTCTCCTTTCTCCTGCTTCCCAGCGGGTGCTTTCGTGTCCCCCCTGGGTGCAAGTTGTATGGATTGTTTGCAAAATTTACGGATAATTGAGGCTTTTTAAACAGGTAAATGTCCGAAGAGATTGACATGTATGGGACAACAAAATACAGACTTGTTATTGAGTTTGTCAACACCAACCGCTACCTGGAAGGCACTACTAGCCCCTCCCCCATCAGAGTATCGGAACAMGATGAGTCAGTACAACATCAATCAAATGAGAGAGAGAGGGTGTGGGCGATTACTGCATTGGGAGGGAAAAAATGTTTTATGGGCAGAGCAGTTTATTTTTCCTGTTATACTTCATTATAGTTTTTTAAGACAAAGCTAAATGAAAGGGGCGCTGAGCAAAGTTATAACCAGGGATTAAAAATATTTATTTTTTTTATCTTCTGCAGTTCATCTACCCCTCCAGCAGATGGCGCTCTAGGCGACTGCCTAGTTCGCCTATGCCAAGAGCCGGCTCTGTCTTCAGGAAATTTCATAAAAAATGTTGCCACGCCKGCATTACATTTAGTATGTGACACAGTCATTTTAGATCACTGATTTGATTTATAACAGCCTCCCCATCACTGACAGGTCTGAACAGATCACACCTCATCAGCCCCTCTGAAATAATGAAGACCAACATGAATGCTATAGTGACCCGTAATAGTTTAATATTATTGTTTTATTTCCTGTTCTACAGGCATTTATTGATGTTGATGGATTCTAATTTTAATTCTTAATTTCTTGTTCTGTCTTGAAATAGAGATGATTGAATGCTAAACTAATGATATAAAACAAATGTAAATGTATGTAGGCTAGGCGCCTGACTATGGTCAAGAATGGTATAAGGAAATCAGAAATAAGTCCAACTGAGGAGCTTGTGTGTGAATAAAACACCATAACACAAGGAATGAATTTAGTTTTTTTTCTTTTGTATTGCAAGATTTAAGATAGGATCCAGCTGATATCAAATGACATTCATGAATATGAACAACAAAAAAAAAATAACAAATAATACAT